CTGAGAGAGGAGGTAACGCATGCGAATGTCCATCCCTAAAAGTTAATGTGTAGAATATTGTATAATCAACACCCCTGAAAGGCAGAAATGCCGAGCAGGTAGAAATAAATTTAAAAAAATAAAATTTAATCACAAACACGTTGTGAAGGTACCGATCTTCCGACCCCATGATAGAGAATATCAATTAGCAATTTTCTACACACACTAGTATTGCGGATTGCAAAACTTAAATTACTATTCGTTCCTATTCGTGGAAAATGTATTTGGCTAATTCGCAACTCAGAGTAAGAAATATAATATAGATTTGAATTTTTTGAATGAGTTCCTCAGATATTTTACCCTTTTAAGGCTTTCCTTTTACATTCTCGTCTACGAACATATTTAAGTAAGAGTAATATAGCGTAGAAAGTTATGTAATGCTTGAGAAAAAACGGCCATTTAGCGACAGAAACTCGTATTCTGGGACCCTGATATAGAAGAAGTTGATAAATCTTGTAATAACATATAGTAAATTACTCCCTTTAGCACGTTATGTAGTCATATTTCAAGAATATTGAGCCTTTGATATTAAAAAAAGGTTTTTTTTCAACACGTCCGTCATTTTGTGAAAACCACTAGATTGCCGCAGATTGGATATTTTTGATATTACCTAGTCGATCTGGTATTGCTACAAGCTTTGCAAATTTTTTTAAAATATAGGGTCACTTTACACACAGGTCATGGAACTATTTCAAAATTTTCTCAAAAAGGGCTCCAAATTTTTACTTTAAATTTGTTGAAAGAATAGCGAAAAACACACTTATATAGATTGCATAGGTCCGTTTTTACTTTATCTTATACGTACGTTTACACGGAGTAATATACGTAGTACAGAGTATTATGAATGGCCGTAGAAAATACATTTCGAGATTTTAAGAGAAATACACATTTTGGGGTACCCTGATACCGAAAAATTGTTTTTTAAAATGTCCGTCCGTCTGTGAACACTAGCGCCTTGACCAAACGTACGATTTTTCCAATATTTTCCAGTTCTTCTGGCTCGACTCGCGGCGCTGCGATTTTGGCAAAATTTCTTTAAAATTTGGGGGTCCTTTTCGCGAAGTCCTTGGAACATTTTCAAATTTTTCTCAAAAATGACTAAAATGTTTTCTTGAAAATTTTCCAACCGATGGTGCTGATTGCTTTCCAAATGTGACTTCAGTTCATATTGGATTCCTATTTTGTTTAAAAAATACACACGTGTATTTATATATATCTCTCACGCCGTTTATATGCATAATTCCAGCAACACAATTCCATTAGTGTGTGGGAGGGCTTCAAATTACTGTAAATGACGTTCTTTGAAAATTGAAATACTTACTATTAAAAAGAGCCTCAAATTTCGCATCAACAGTAACGGTTAGAGGCAATTTCCTAATAAATGGCTCCAAATTTTTCAACGATAATGGCTGTTTAGGACGAGTTTTTACTCTTCTTTACTATTATTAAAGTAATATTTCGGTTCTACAATTAAAAATTATGAAGACTGTTTTACAAAATCTCAAAGCGTCGACGTGAGGCAGATGGACAGGGGTTTCTTCAATTTGAAAAATCCTACGGATTGTTTAGCCGCTAGTGGTGTTCTGACAGACGGACGGACAGTGCAACCCCAGTGAGGGCTACAACTTCACAGAACAATTCCCGGGGTGAGCACCTAGAAGCTAGCCTTTATTCGCTGCCTCCGCCGCCACACAATCCGGATTTCGCCGAAACGAGTTTGCCCTCACGGCTACCTACCCATCCAATGCCTGGGTGGAGCCGCCGTGCCAGTTGTGTGCTACAAGCTTTCCAGACTAGCACTTGAGTTAAAGCAATGCGCCACTCACATGTGCTGGGAACAAATGCTGCCCTGAGCTACCTAGGACCTGAGTATGGGGACACTGCCACGACAAAGCCAAGAGCCCAATTGATAGGTTACCAGACAAGCCGGCAACCAGGAGCTTAGCATCGCCTACTCACTGTATACTTCGGTATACGGTATACTTATAGATATACGGTATACTTCAGGTCCGGGTGGTCTTTTACACCACTCCACCAGAGACCGTGTCCGAGCGACGGAGAAGGGCTAACGTATCGCTGTGGGAGTTAGTGAAGCCCTTTTGCACGATGCATTTGGCCCACGAATCAATCAGACCAAACAAAGACCGAACACTGAGACTACTTAAATTGCAGTGATGGACGTGAATAGGAGCACGGATGTGGGGAAGGGCTTGTCTACGAGTAGAATTAATCGACTGGAAAGGCGTATCGTCTTCTGCGTTGTTGGCAAGATAAGGCAATAAATCGCTTACTCTTAGGGGGACGCTCTCCCCACACTCATTTCCGCGCACGCATGGCTTTAAACGAAGGCGTTAGGGTTGCGAGAAAAGTCGAATTTGACTTCGTTTCACTCAACCAATTACGAGAAAGATAGGCGTGCGCATTAATAGCTACGCGGAAAATTGGTGGAGATAGGGTGGTTTTTAGAAAAGACGGAGTAGGGAGCGAAGCCGAGGAAGAGAGAAGCCAGCGAGGAGTGGTGAGCGTCAGACCTCAGCGAGTAGACACCTCGCGGCTCACGAGGAGAACCATGTGAAATTGTATTCGTGTGGCTTATTTTGATAAGAGTAACTTACCGCTCCACGAGTTGAGGACTCTATAATAAGTTGCTCAACAAAGGTATGTGGTCTCTCAGTTTATTAACTCAATTACGAGTGTAGAGCAAAATAGCTATCGAGCTGGCCATGCAAATTGCATAAGTTTGCCAACGCCGATAAATTTCAAGAATCGCGACCGCCGGTGAGGTTTAGACCGGAAAATCAAAGTCACGACCGCGAAAAAATGAACCGAAAGGAGGCCGTGAGTAAACGCCTGTGAAGTGAATGGACAGCAGGGTGCAGCTGATGACGCAACAGCTCCAGCGCGGGCAGTTACTGCGAGGGGTCAGCTGAGCTCCTTTTTCTCTCCCTCTCCCTCCCCCTCCCCCTCTCTCCCCCTCTCTCTCCCTCTCTCTCCCTCTCTCACCCTCTCCCTCTGTCTCTGTCTCTCTCTCTTTCTCTTTCTCTGACGTTGAATGGCGAACGATTCTGGAACCTGGCACAGCTGTGACAAAGGAGGAAAAAATGGTGGGTGAAAAATAATTTTAAATCATTATGTAAACAAGAAGATTAAGAAAAATAATATTGTAAAATACAGTAAATTTCCATGTTAAATTCAGCGCATTGCGATTTTCCGGGATGAATGTAATCTAAATTAATAATTTGAAGTAAATGCCAACAATTCGGCAGGACCAGTTCCCATTGCAGTATTCGGGAAAGTAAAAAAATGTCAATTTTTCAAATAAACCATTTTCTAAAATTTCTAATCGATTTTCGATTTTTTAATCGAGCGCCAACGAAAAGTTGGAGGGCCTCTCGCCGAAGGGCTTTTTATTGCCCGAGAACATTAGAACCAGCTAACGGCCTTGGTACATACAGGATTTTATTTTCTACCTAATTTTAATTGCTCATATTTACTTATTTATCTTTTTTGCCGAGGAGGGGGAAATGCGTTACGCATGTCGGTGAGGCCGGGTATGTCGGACTCTCCAGTATGGCATACCGACTAAAACCTAACCTCCTCGTTTCTC